CCCAAAATAATGACAATTTTGATCCTTGATAGTTGCCAATCATTAAAAACAGTTAAACAAATTTTCCCGACCCCAGGGGGAAGCTGCTGATAGGTGCATAACACTTACGACAATTTGCTTCATCGGAATTGTCTCCACAATCATTTTTTCTGGACACAACGTTGATTTTAACAGGTGTATTGCGGAGATGAACAAGAAAAGCCTAGTTACCAAGAGAATTGAATTCATGGTTACAAGCTAGTCACGATAACAAGTTACTTGGTAATTATTCCAAGTCGCTGGTTTTCAAATCTATACAAAACTTCATCATGTACAGTTACACCATTTTAAAATCTTATTTCAAAAAGCCACATTCCATGTTCCGCAAGGGTGTGTGCAGGGGTAGGGGAGTTGTCTTTTGGTCCGTTTGCAATATTCATAAAAAGTCGCTAACAGAATCGCTCATAACTATTCGATATTTTCTGTTTTAGTATGTTTACGAGAATTCATAGCCATTGTAATAATAACTTTGGAAAGCGCTTTTTCACGACTTGATGATTTCGACAGAATTTTTCAGTAATTCAAAACCGAGCTTGTTGAAAAGTGTGTTAACCTGAACCAAAACAGCGACCAAATACCAAAGTAGCCATTCCTAAACACTAAACATACCTGAAATTTGAGCTGAAGGTAAATTTAAGACGAAGAATACTAGAAAGTTGAGGAAAATCGCCCGAAACGCGGCCATTCTTGGTTTATGCTGTTCTGTCAATGAGTCGGACTGAACAATTTGCACACACAGAATGAAGCATATGCCAATGTCTTGTTGTGGTGGCTTCGACCGCATATGGAAACTGCTGAGTTTTTTTATGGGTTAATTGCCCGTCTATAATTGCACATTCATACGGCATGCAACTAATCATTTAGATTCCGTAATAAACTCGGATCCTGCAGCGCCCGATAATGTATTCTCTTCAGCCCGCTCGACCAACTGTTTAGTGCCCAGACTTCCGCATCTACAATCAACGTTTGCTCAATAGAACGCTTACAGCGCTTTCAGAATATCAGGTATTCATTAAAAAAGACTCCTGAAAAATAGAGTTGGGTTGGCCCTAAACCAAGAGAGTTCTTGTATATGTCAGCTTTATAACTTGGAGCTCAAAAAAAGAAATTCTTCAATAGTGTTTCCTATCACGACAAAAATACCAAAAATTAATCTTTACTGCTCTTTATTTTATCGTGAATGAACAAAAACCACAATATCATCACATCGACAAAAAATCTTTGGAATTTTGTTCTTAAAAAATTCAATTCCCGCGAAATTTTTATGGCCAGGCATGGCAGACAGATAATCGTTTCTTTCCATCCCAAAAATTCTGTAAAAATTTAACTCGTTTTCCTTTTCTTCTTCGGTGTTGATTTCAATGTGCTCTTATTCGCTCTGGCTTTATCGATATCTGACTGTGTAATGGTGTGAAAGATGTCATCGACGTCTTCTTCATCGACAGAAATATCTTTGCTTTCCTCTCGCCGTGTTTCGAGGGCTAACTTTGCATCCATGCGATCAATGTACTTGAAAGCTGCTTTGCGACGAATCATTCGACGATACTGGGGAAAAATATAAAACCAACTTTTTATTATCAAGAGAATTTACT